AATTATAATCATGATGCCCTTGAGTGCACAATGCACATATATACGTAGCTACGGGGAAATTACCACATGCGCAATATCAAAATATACGGCGAGTCCAACAGTGCTTGCAACCTTAAAGTTCAAGGTTTCCTCCCTTCCTCTCTCGCTCCGCAACGGAGTGTCATTCCTCATTTGTTGTGAAATGGTTTTTTCTTCGCGTGTACGGGTGTTGTTGAAAGAACACATGTGCATGGTTGATTTAGCTTTTGTGGCTTCTACTTGCATTGGAAGAAATAAGGTCATAGTTGTACCGTGCTGATGTACTAGCTGTACGACAATTTTTGCATCAATAAGCGGTAGCAGCCATATAAGCTTAACAAGTAAGCGTAGGCTCACTCGCTACGCTGACTATCACTTGTCGCTGTTCGCTACCTTGCCCGTCAGGCGTCAAGGTGTATTTCGGCAGCCAGCTACTCGGTAGCATCCCGGTGCGAAATGCACATATTATGCCTTCTCAAGTACTTACTAAATAAACCATACAGAGTACTACCTATTTCTTCACGCAAAATCGCAACTGTTTAGTGCCAAGGTTAGCGGGGAGTGAAGGTCAGATGAAGAGGCGGTGGGAACTGCGCATAAAAAAAAGATGGGATGAGAATTTTAAGTGTCGTTTTCTGACCAGGAACACGCAAAACTGCACCGTATTAGCACAAAAAATTAATTTTTTTCGCGCTCCGCGCGGTTTTAGAAACAGCATTACATCGGTTTTAAAGGCCGGAAACTGGGTGGGCCCAGTGCGCTCACTGCGTTGTCTTGTTACGCGACGCGTACAAGATGGCCAAGCGCTGTCCTCATTCACTTCAAGACATTTGCGTCCATCATTAAACTCAACACACTGTTATCTTGCACAAATTAGCGGTTCATTTCAAAAGCGGGGTTTGAATGAGACCGCAAAGGTGAGATGGGCTGAAAGTTGAACCAACTGGGGATTATTGCGTGATTTGTAGTTACTCCTACTTCTGTTCACCGGCTTTTTTCGTACTCTCCATCCAGCCCCCACCCTCCCTATACCGAGAAATATCTATAGTATTTTTTGTCGAATTTCTCAGCAGTTTACCACGTCAATCTATCCGTTGGTTTCGCGCGAATTGATTACGCGGTCGAATTTAACAGTTGTATATAAACTATAAAGATCTCGTTTTCCCAAGCAACTTCTACAAACCTTATCTCGAAACAGCAAACTCATTAAAATTTAAGTGTTGTAATTCGTCTAAAGTTCAAACATTTTTAAACTTCGCCCCCGGGAGGGGGGGGGGAAGTCGCAAAGCGTCCATCATTGATTCTGCACTATTTCAGTCCCTGGAAAAGGAAAAGTGGGATCCCAATCCTATACAGTCAATCCTAACCGCAATAACGTCGTGAATAACAGCAGCAGAGGCTTCGGGTGGAAGATGAGAATCAAGACAAATATAAAACATCCGATGATAAATAAAAACTGCTTCAAGGAAAGGACAGGGTGATAATCCGGTGGGACAGGCGCCGTACGGAGCATGTAAGCGCATACGTCCTCATAATCCTTAAAGGTTAGAACAGCGTCATTTTTTGCAACACCATGCAGCTTCTGTTCCAGTTGCTCCAACTCAGATGCAAACTGCTTCGTTTCGCCAAAATTCTCAAAGTGCTTTTTCTTCTCCACGTAACCCGGTGGATACGTTCGCAGACAGATTTTCCCCTCCAGCATGATGCGCAACAAGTGAATGCCGGCTCGATACACATCCGGTCGGGCTGCCTTGGCCGTGAAAAATCCTCGTTTCAGCGCCCACGCTTCACAGATGTCTAATGGCGAGAATTTGGCCGATTCTCCCTTTGGATGCTTCAGTTTCAACAGTTGAATGAGTGGCAGGTGAGCGGCCAAATAGCCGATAACGCTATATGGATCCGATACTTGAGAAATGGGATAGATTCCGCCGATAATCTGCAGGACTTTGGGCGCAGTAGCCGGAAAGACCAATCCAGGACAGTCACAGAGCTTGACATTCGGAGCAAGGAATATAGTTTGGAAATGCTTGGTATGGCCGGGAGTTTTCGAGACAGACACCACTTTCTGACCCATTAACGCGTTGATCACGGAAGATTTGCCGACATTCGGTTCTCCGATGCAACCAATGGTCAGCACACCGTCTTTGAAGGGAAATTAGGGAACATGGTGTCCGTCCATCTGATGAGCATCCGCCGGTGGAATCGGCACTTTATCTAATACAATACAGTCCAAAACATATGAAGTATTCATCTGTGTAATATCTTACGATAAACTGATTTTACTAACCATCAATTATAACGCCTATAGATAACACATGTTACAGCGAACCGGTAATAAAGACGGTTTAAAAGTAGTTTCACCAGTTTTCCAAATTCAAATAGATCACGTGAAGTTTTTTTTTCCATAGGTACAGTATATTATATTGTATATACAGCGACGACTATTTTCCACAGCAACAAGTGAAAGCACAATTAGAAATGTGGTACTCAACAATCAAATTATGAAACTTAAGAACTATGATTAACGAAAAATCTAAGTTTCGTGGCAAAACACCGGCTATTGTGAAGAAAATCATGAACATACCCGGAAGCGCACCTCCCGATTCAATAGCATCCAGTCGCTGTTTCCACAACGTCACGTCGACTTCCCCTTTGGCTACTTCGGAACAGTAGTCAAATATCTCGCGTACACCGTAACAGATCTGGTATTTGCTGCGTTTGGTTGGTTTCTTCTTTTTGAACATCCTCTCCAGATCTGCAGCTGTACGGGGACTGGAACCGAACTGAACCACTTTCAAGGAGGGATACGTCGAAGCGAAATACTGCCGCCAGGCTACGGCTAGCGGCGGAGGCACCAGATCAATTTTATTGAGAATAAGGATGATCGGCTTTTTCAGTTCTTCCATTAAATATTTATACAACGTCGGAGGAAAGTGTAGAACTGGGAAACGAAGATCCACAATGACTAGGAACACGTCGCTCATCTCCATCACACGCCACAACTAAATATAAATACGTATGCAAGATAAATTTTTGTACGCATCAAAAATACTTAAAGTCATGCAGTTGTGCTGGTTTTACGTTATAATTATTGCGTTCACATCTCCACAAGCCCGAGTAATTTTTTCTGACCTGGGTAAACAAAAACAGCTAAAAAGCAGATGGAAATCATGCCTGGTTTGCTGTGATATGACACAAGCAGTCAAGAAAATTTAAGTTAATAATTAATTCTCCGAATCGCCAGAAATGTGAATATATCTAGTATATTACATACAAAATTTTCCACTTTCGCTTTTTTATAATTAAACTGATTTTCCGTTCGTTCTCACCTGGCGCCAAGTTTCCAGATTCAGTTCGAAGTACGACAAATCCACGGAATCATGATGAGCAGCAAATATCTTCTCAACATAACTCCGAAAGTATTTCTGCTCATTCGCATCCAGCTGCTCCTTCGTCATGGTGTAATCCCACGGCGGGCGTCGAGGCATGTCCAACTCCGAACCAGGTCGGTAAATATCCTCCAAGCTCATCTCCAGCTTCTCCTCGGGAACCGCTTCCACTGGCAGCGAAGCTTTTTCCTTCCGCAATTTCAGTTCTTCCTAAGAAGCGTATTACAATGAGCAAAGATCTAACAACCAAGAATACTGTGTACAATATATCAAACACACTAAAATCATGAATCGTACTGACAAAACTCGAAATCTACATCTTTTTTCAACTGCACCTTTGACTCGCGATAGAAATGCAGTCGGTAACGGTTTGGATCGTATTCATTCTTCGCTTTCGGATGAAGCTGCTGAGATCCAGGTTGCTGATTAACTTTGGCGACGCGAACGTTCAATCCCGGCGGATTTTCTTCTTGAAAGTCCCCAGTCAGGATTATGGCATCGTCCACATCACCTTCGTCGCTCGTAGACTGCAGATCGCCGCTTCGGTTTCGTTTCCTTTCCCGCTTTTGTGAAATCTGCTGTTTCTTCTGTTTCACACTAAACGGTTTCTTACGATTTGGCATCTCTATTGATCCATGTAAACGAACGACAAATCAAACTGTATACTTTTAACACGAACATAAATGATAAACTGTGTAATTTTCTAATAACCTAGTGAGTACACTTCCAAAAACGACTGTAAAACGATTGTAAAACTGTAAAAGCAGGTTAAAAGAAACTGGGGAAAACTGCAAAGTGAACTGCTTTATACCCAAGTTGCCCGATCGGAAACAGGAAAGAGTACGTAAACTGTACAAAGTTGCAAGCACTACAAGAGTGCATTATTACGGTGAGTTGTGTTGTGTGCGGTGTTACTAGTACTAGTACTGTACTGAATTTGTGCGTTATACTGGAATCTCAATTTATTGCCAATTACGCAAAATTTTATGATAATTTTCCTGTTGATGAATAATTCAGAATGCTGTTGGTTGCAATCCATCCCGACTCGTCCCAAAATTTCAGGATGCTACGGTTGTCGTAAAACACAAAAAACCGCGAACGAATTAACGAGTTTTTATTTGAATAAAAATTTATTTTTTATTTTTATAAAATTATTTATAAATTTATTTTATTTTTTTTTTGTTTAAATACTCTCATTTTCTTACTTTTTTTAAATTTTTATAGTAAAGTGCGACCACGAGAGGAAGGACAAAATTGATCTGTAAAGCATTCTGCATACAGCAGCTTTGCAAACTGCTCTTATACTCGTATTTTAAAATTTTAAGTAAGTACGTACCATATATCGTATGTCTGTACTTATTACAATCATTATTACTGCATGATATCTACATGAGCAAAAATGCAGTAAAGCGATGAAACTTTATTCGTTTCAAACTTTTGTATGTATGGCCAAGCAACCGTTCACATGCACTCAATCCGGACTAAACTCCAAAGCAGACGAAACCGGTACGAAAAGGGCATTTTTTCAAAAAATCAACATCAGAGTCCGTCCAATCCAACCGCAAATCAATTCACGCGTTGGAAAAAACCATCAAGATGGCAACAAAATACGATCAATAGAAAAAGTTCAACCAACCCCCAACACCCTCCATCAAACGCAAAACAGATATCTTCCCCGCAAAACCCCGAAATACTATCACTACGCGAACTACTGTTTGTAGTTGGATGTCAACCATGTTAGGCCCTCGGTTAATCCATCTCCGGTCGGGGCACATTCACAACAAGGCTGCACATACCATATCCGATTCTGCAGCCTCGTTAATCCCAACCTATCCTGCAGGTCATGTGGTCGTACCGCATTTGGGAGATCCTGCAAATGCTCAGATTAAAACAGCGCATTTCAAATTATGTATATGAGAAACAACCGTTTGAATTGTACATTTTCCAATCATTTAATTTTACATACCCCTGAGAGTAATATTTGAAGTTGAACGAAGTACTTATCATCAGCATAAAAGGGCAAGTTACGCAAAATATCTTATCACATGGTGATGGAAGTACATGAGAAAAATCCATAGCGGCACCGGTACCAATCTCAAACAGCTAGGCAGAATGTGAAGACATACTATTATCAAAACTCGTGGAAAAAATCGTTGACATATATTTAGATTAGCAGGTGGCAGGTTTCCAGCGATGCAAAAAAACCGCAGGTTCATTATCAAACACAAAAATAAAGAGAAACCAAGACACAACCGGAGAAGTGGCCATTTACCGCACAAGTATGTATCGTATGCCAAGTAGTCAATTTAGTACCTGTTTATTGGCAAATAATAAGATGATGGCATCCTTCATTTCGCGATCATTAATGATTCTATGGAATTCCTGTCGTGCCTCGTCAAGTCGATCAATATCGGCGGAATCGACGACAAAAATTAATGCCTGTGAGCCGGTGAAGTAATGTCTCCAAAGAGGCCGAATCTTATCTTGTCCACCAACGTCCTAGCCGAACAAATAAACATGTTGTGCACAACATTATGCACTTGTGCCGAGTAATCAGCCACTTCATTCTCCCCGTCGAGAAGGCTCCACCGAGCACGCAATCAATTTTACAAGCAGGTAAGCAAAGACGATCGGCAAATAATCTTACCCATACAGACATGCGGAATTTCTTGAAAGATATCGTCTCCACATTGAAGCCAACGGTTGGAATGGTCAGTAATGTTGGAGTGCTGAGCCAACTTCAATCGGTAAAGAATAGCTGCAAAGAAACTTTGTGCAAATTTTCAGGTTTAAACCATAAACAAGCATAATAGAGAGCTAACAAATTTTACGCAACGCAAACGTGAACGACTGCACAGTGCACACAAGCCTTAATGCTTTCGTGTGTGAACAGTAAAAACATGCTACACGATAATACTGTAGCCGTACAAATGAGATCTGTAGTGAAGATGTGCATCTCATTTATATGTACTATATTTTTATTAATTATGCTAAGCCAGTTTAAACATCCAAAACAAACTCAAGCGTGACTCAGCATCAAAAGACAGCGGAAACATGCGGCCGAATCACAGAGAACATTTGATCTAAATTAGCCGAGGCTGGTGTCGTTCCCAGGATGGATGCCGCATTTCCACGTTGAATTTCGATGCTGAACTCTGGCGCAGATACTCCGTTCCGCGTATCTCGCCCGTTTCCTGCCATATCATCCTGCCTACTTCACTAAGCAGCCGGGAGGCTTCCGGTCCGAGGGGTCCCACTGTCTCCACACCCATCTCATTGGTGCTAGTTCAACCGGAAACATCTGAATGTGTACTTGTACGAAATTTCCAGTTCTAACGTGGATTTTCTAGACTTCTGAGATTGTCTGAATGTTCTGAAATCATTCTTGCTCTTCCCCAATGACTTTTCAGCTGATTAAAAATGTTTGTGCACTTTGACAATCGCGCCGGTATTGGTTAAAATGTTCGCAATTGCATAACTGACTTTTGAGCAATTCGCTAACTCGTAACATCACCGACGGTCATCGACGAACCATCAAAACCTTGAAATTTTATCGTGGTACGGGTGGATTAACCCACTCCACTAGTGGCAGCTTAGAAGTTGCCGTTGCAAATACTATGTACGTACTAACACAATTGTAATTTATGTACAAGTGCATCAATTTTTGTGGAAAGCGGCATTCTAATAAACTGTGAGCGATGGCCATGAACCTTGCAGCACGCGTAAAAAGCATATCTGCTTTAAAAGCGTTAACAGCTGATGCTGACATTTGTCGTGCAGATTGCGTGAAAACAGGCTTAAGTTATAACAAACGAATCCAGTTGTCAGCATGAATTAGCGAGTGCGTTTTCATGAACCGGAAAACCATAATCGTCAATTAACGAAGCCATCTCATAAGTTAGTATTCATCCCGGATGTCCGAATTTCTCATCAGTGCGCACGCGATGCGAATAAAATTAAAGTAATGCCAATTAAACCGGCAAACTGGCAACTGTAAATGGAAAATTAATACTCTTAATCTGTACGTCTGATTTAAGCAATTTGCCGTTTGAAAAAGATACCAGGCGTGTTCTTAATTACATTTTTAGTATTCAAATTTTTGCACTGCGGTATTCCCACTGCGCTTTTTTGTTGCCTCATACGCTACTGCTCAATAAAATGGTGAGTATTTATACCGGCAGCAGCGCACTCATGAAATGTCATAACGGAATACAAGAGTATCAAGATGCTAATAATTTATTGATGTACGCTGATGACTTCATCCACGCCCTGCGCAAGCGTCTACGGAGGGGCCTTTATCAAACTGATGATTCTCGCCAGGATGGCGCCCTCTGGCGGTTGGGAGACGTGCGACTAAGGTGCGACGGGAAGTCATCGTAGGCCCATACAAACTAGTGCTTATCCCGGCACTTTTTAAACAACGCGCGTTTGCAAACTGTACTGTTTGTTAACTGGGCAGGTACTAGTACATGAAAATTCACAGAAAACTATCCTCTGCAAACGACAAAAAATTGTGTGATAAAAATGCTTACAGTATTCTCAAAATAAGTATGCCCCGCCAGTGTCTGTTTGTAAATACCCCTTAAATATTAAAAAATTTTATGGGAGCCGATTTGTTAAAAAACAGACGCGCGTTTCCCGCAACATGTACCGTTTCCGGACCGAGACCGCACCAAGCTGCCCGATTGTTTAGTTAACCGATTGTTTAGCTGGCCGCCGAAAACTTATCGGCTCAGGTAGCACCCCTTTGCACCCAATATTAACGCCAATTGTGATTGGTTGGTCAAACTAGCAGCAATCAATGGGAATTATTTGTTAACACCCAATGGCAACCGGCCGATGGTGTGAATTACTGTTAACTGTACTATTTTCGGTCAACTTGGGTATAAAGCAGTTCACTTTGCAGTTTTCCCCAGTTTCTTTTAACCTGCTTTTACAGTTTTACAATCGTTTTACAGTCGTTTTTGGAAGTGTACTCACTAGGTTATTAGAAAATTACACAGTTTATCATTTATGTTCGTGTTAAAAGTATACAGTTTGATTTGTCGTTCGTTTACATGGATCAATAGAGATGCCAAATCGTAAGAAACCGTTTAGTGTGAAACAGAAGAAACAGCAGATTTCACAAAAGCGGGAAAGGAAACGAAACCGAAGCGGCGATCTGCAGTCTACGAGCGACGAAGGTGATGTGGACGATGCCATAATCCTGACTGGGGACTTTCAAGAAGAAAATCCGCCGGGATTGAACGTTCGCGTCGCCAAAGTTAATCAGCAACCTGGATCTCAGCAGCTTCATCCGAAAGCGAAGAATGAATACGATCCAAACCGTTACCGACTGCATTTCTATCGCGAGTCAAAGGTGCAGTTGAAAAAAGATGTAGATTTCGAGTTTTGTCAGTACGATTCATGATTTTAGTGTGTTTGATATATTGTACACAGTATTCTTGGTTGTTAGATCTTTGCTCATTGTAATACGCTTCTTAGGAAGAACTGAAATTGCGGAAGGAAAAGCTTCGCTGCCAGTGGAAGCGGTTCCCGAGGAGAAGCTGGAGATGAGCTTGGAGGATATTTACCGACCTGGTTCGGAGTTGGACATGCCTCGACGCCCGCCGTGGGATTACACCATGACGAAGGAGCAGCTGGATGCGAATGAGCAGAAATACTTTCGGAGTTATGTTGAGAAGATATTTGCTGCTCATCATGATTCCGTGGATTTGTCGTACTTCGAACTGAATCTGGAAACTTGGCGCCAGGTGAGAACGAACGGAAAATCAGTTTAATTATAAAAAAGCGAAAGTGGAAAATTTTGTATGTAATATACTAGATATATTCACATTTCTGGCGATTCGGAGAATTAATTATTAACTTAAATTTTCTTGACTGCTTGTGTCATATCACAGCAAACCAGGCATGATTTCCATCTGCTTTTTAGCTGTTTTTGTTTACCCAGGTCAGAAAAAATTACTCGGGCTTGTGGAGATGTGAACGCAATAATTATAACGTAAAACCAGCACAACTGCATGACTTTAAGTATTTTTGATGCGTACAAAAATTTATCTTGCATACGTATTTATATTTAGTTGTGGCGTGTGATGGAGATGAGCGACGTGTTCCTAGTCATTGTGGATCTTCGTTTCCCAGTTCTACACTTTCCTCCGACGTTGTATAAATATTTAATGGAAGAACTGAAAAAGCCGATCATCCTTATTCTCAATAAAATTGATCTGGTGCCTCCGCCGCTAGCCGTAGCCTGGCGGCAGTATTTCTCTTCGACGTATCCTTCCTTGAAAGTGGTTCTGTTCGGTTCCAGTCCCCGTACAGCTGCGGATCTGGAAAGGATGTTCAAAAAAAAGAAGCCAACTAAACGCAGCAAATACCAGATCTGCTACGGTGTACGCGAGATATTCGACTACTGTTCTGAAGTAGCCAAAGGGGAAGTGGACATGACGCTGTGGAAACAGCGACTGGATGCTACTGAATCGGGAGGTGCGCTTCCGGGTATGTTCATGATTTTTTTTCACAATAGCCGGTATTTTGCCACGAAATTTATGAACTATGAATAGCGAATAATCTGACTTTCACAATTTGATTGTTGAGTACCACCATATCTTAAATAATTATTGTGCTTTCTGTTGTTGTTGTGGGAAGTACGTAGTCGTCGCTGTATGCTTATGAGAATAAAATTTGTAAGTGATCTATTTTGAAATTGGAAAACATGAGTAAAATTGTTTTGAAACCGTTTTTATTACCGGTTCGCTGTAACATGTGTTATCTATAGGCGTTATAATTGTTAGTTAGTAAAATCAGTTTATCGTAAGATATTACACAGATAAATACTTCATATGTTTTGGATTGTATTGTATTAGATAAAGTGCCGATTCCACCGGCGGATGCTCATCAGATGGACGGACACCATGTTCCCTTCAAGGACGGTGTGCTGACCATTGGTTGCATCGGAGAACCGAATGTCGGCAAATCTTCCGTGTTCAACGCGTTAATGGGCCAGAAAGTGAAGTCTGTCTCGAAAACTCCCGGCCATACCAAGCATTTTTAAACCATATTCCTTTTTCCGGCTGCTGCGCCCAAAGTCCTACAAATTATCGGCGGAATCTATCCCATTTCTCAAGTATCGGATCCATATAACGTTATCGGCTATTTGGCCGCTCACCTGCCACTGATTCAACTGTTGAAACTGAGACATCCAAACGGGGAAGGGGCGAAATTCTCGGCATTAGACATTTGCGAAGCATGGGCATTAAAACGAGGATTTTTCACGGCCAAGGCAGCCCGACCGGATGTGTATCGAGCCGGCAATCATTTGTTGCGCATTACGCTGGAGGGGAAAATCTGTCTGCGAATGTATCCACCAGGCTACGTGAGGCACAAGAAACATTTCGAGAATCTGGGCGAAACGAAACAATTGACAGCGGAATTGGAACAACTAGAACCAAAGCTGCATGGTGGTGCTTCGGAAGGGGAGAGGAACCCAGCGAAAGGCTCAGATGACGATGACGACAGCGATACGCTCTCGACGGAAGAGGAGACTGACCGACAGCATTTCTTTGAACAGATTGCGGGGAGTAACAAGTTTGCAGCGCTGGGAATTTCGTCGGATTGATTTCTTGCTGTGGTTGTATGATCGTGTCACTGTTTAAGATTCAGACTTTTTTCTTTATATTCTTTCGGTTAAGTACTGTTTGCTGTCTTAATTTCCAAGATCGAAACCAGTGTTTTTGTCAAACTGACTTTTCGATTTGTGGAATTTCTTGCTTTAAACAGCAGTGTTCCGCGTGTAAATGTTTCCTATGTGATAAGCGCGTTTCCTGTGAAAGATCGGTTATTTTCTTTATTGTACGATTTATGTGAAGTAGTAACAAGTTTGAAACTTATCAAATTCTCAGATAATTTCGAAGGGGAAGGAAGCAATAAGGTTCGTGCCATCTGCAGTCCAATTCGTACCTTTTGCATCATTATTTCCTTGACCGTTTGTAGCGGAGAATTTTAATCGGCTTCAGTAAAAGCACACTGCGATAATAACAGTATAAATTACTATAAAAGTACGCTAACAGCGCTCCCCTTTACACTGCATTCTACAACAGCAACGCTTACCCAAATGTAATTGATCTCCACCAGTGGTAGAGGTCAATTACATTTGGGTAACCGATGCGTGTAGAGTAAAGGAGAAACGCGTAAAACACTAGAAGCATCCATGACTCAGCAAAAAAAACATCGTCCAATAATACGTCCAACAGTCGAGTGCGCTTCCGTGCCCGCCGTGCCGAGTAGTATTTTCACAGCATTAAACGTTTCTAGGTGAAAATCCGTCTATTTTTCCGTTTACATACCCGCTGTAGCCGCTTGCATAATAGAAAGGATGCGCAGAGTCAAAACGCGGACTTACATCGAGCATCAGCGACTTACATCGAAGCTCGAAATAGGCGTACCAAGTTCCAATTGGCTGGGCTTCGATGTAAGTCGCTTTTTGCTCGGTGTCTGTCGGTGGGCGTCGACGAAAACCGTTACCAACATGGGCGTACCTTGTAACGGGTCTAAGCGACGCCCAGGTACTTACAAACTTCGCTTTTCCGCGATTTTTATTGGTGGGTCAGCATTCTGAGTTAGATCGAGGCTGCCCACCGCCAATAGCAAAATTCAAAACCACGTGATTGTTTCTCCATACTTTGGGCTGACAGCGACGGTTCAACAGTAAAACGACAGGGTTTTCCGTTTTTCTTTAAGTTTTTTAAAATCTTGCCTTTTCGTTTGTTATTGAAATTAGAAGTATAAAACTGATATGCATCTATAGTGCAGGGAAGCCTGTGTTCTAATCCAGATTAGACTATGCAGTATCAGTGTTTGGCCAGGTGCGCCTCTGTTACAAATTGTTTGTTTTCTGATTATCTTTTAATTTAATTTCAAATCCCATTGCAGCTGACTAGCGTACTACAATTGAATCGGGGCTTGCCAAGAGGTTCGCGAATCCTTGTGGCTGTCTCTAACGATTTGTGGTTTAGCTTGTGGTGTATAGCTGCCGTCGTATCGCAGGGAACCCCGCGCGCTGGCTACCCAGCTGTTGGTGTTATTTACTGTGTACTGTGCTTGGGTTCTCAACCTGGTTGCATACCCGACTACAATTTATGCTGCTAGACAGCCTTCCATGGTAAGCCAGAATTTATTTTTATTATCATGTCAATTCATCATTGTTGATGTTTCGTCTGGATTTATGACAGCAAATTGTATACTTTGCTTAACCGCGTGCCGGGTTCCCGCTTTGTTCTGGCTACCCAGAATATTGTTTACCGTATTTCTTTTATTTATTTTAGCTTAAAATAATAGTGCGTAGATATTCCCAATCCACCTTGTTTTGGTGCTTTCCAACAGATTATATGGCATTACTTAACTTTTAAAAATGTGATGATACAATTTTACGATTTTGGTAGTATAATGTCAGCACGCATAATGTCTGTCATGACTGTTGTGCGCATGCGGTCGCGTTTAGCCCGTACACACATACATGCAAGACGTGAAAACGGGCGCGGTTTTGCGTTCGATGTTTGTATGTCAAGGGTGAAAAACGTTGTAAGTAAGTCCGCGTTCGAACTGTGCGCATTTAATACAATGACACCCGGGAATTAAATATTACTGTGCTGCCAGACGGCCCGGGCCGCGGCCCGGGGACATGTCGGGCCGCAGCCCGGATCGGCGCGCGGCCCGGGCCGTGTAAACGACGGCCCGGCCCTCTTGCTCGGGCCGGGCCGATCCAACACTAGTGCCGAGACAGAAATTGAACACCGAGGTGGAACTTAAAAATTCGTTTTTAATGCTGTAATGTGGTGTGACGTCGAAAATTTAATTATGAGTTTTCGAGTTTTACTCTGGGTCACTGGATTTACTTTTGGTCCAAACACACACAAATTTGTTGATCTATGCAGGAGACAGTTTACGATTCTTAGTTTGGGCATAGTGTAATTACATATACAAGCCCAACCTCGGCCTTCGACCTCGGTTGGGACAAAGTAGAATTGAATTGTCTAACCGGCGAAAATCCTTAGCCTTCTGTCTAACCGAAGAAATCCGTTTCCCAACTTTTTAACTGGCGAAAATTCCTTCCCCTTTATCTGGCAGGCGAAAAGTCCTACCATTTTGTCTAACCGGAGAAAATTTCTTTGTCTGTCTAACCTGCTAAAATCCCCATCTCTGTGTCAAACCGGCAGAATTCCCTTCCCCACTGTCTAACCGGAATAAATCCCTCCGCTTTTGTCTGGCCGGCGGAAATTCATACCCCTTTGTCTAACCGGCGAAATTTCTTTCCGCACTTTCTAACTGGCAAATATCTCTACCCGGCGAAAATCTCTTACTTTCTGTATAACCTCCGAAATTCCCTTCTCCTTTGTCTGGCCGGCAAAAATTCCCACACCTTTGTCTAACCGCCAAAAATCCCTTCCGGTGTCTAACCGGCGAAAATCTCATACGTTCTGTCTAACCGGCGAAGGTCCTAGCTTTGTACTGCTTTATAATTAAAAAATTGTAGGTAACGCTTTTCCGCATTTTTGTATTTCAACAATAAATAATTGTAATAAGTTCTGCATTTCTCTCATACACATTTCTGCATTTCCACAATTTCATTCAAATTAGCAGAACGCTAGCGCGCTACACGACACAGTGTTATTTATTAGTCAACGATTTACGTTCGAAAGTTTCGCATTTCCGCGAATCAGCGAAATTTGTTTTGAATGCATTTAGTAATTCGGCGGACGAAAAATCGAAAAATTAAAGTCGTTCGACCAAACTAAATAAAACAATCAGTAAATCAGCGAAATTTGTTTCGAACCCGTATCGTAACGCGGAAAGGAAAAAACTGAAAAACGAACCCTTTGAGACAATCATTATTTCAAACATTGTACAAAATTTTGCTTCGAACTTGTATCAGAAAATCGCTGGCAAATTACGCCTTTCAGCAATTTTTATATTTCTAAAATGTTTCACAATTCAGCCGCGCGGTATTATGAGCATACTGGTACATATGGCACATGAAGTATTGTACTACATGTATTATTATTCAGCGGTTTTGGTTCGATAACTTCCGCATCTCCGCCAATCCTATGCTAATTTCCATTGATCAGCCATTCAGCGAAATTCGTTTTGTTTCCTGTTTCGTAAGTCGGAGGTCGAAAAGATGGAAAAACAAAAGTTGATGACGCAAACTACTTGCTTTTAGGAATTTTTTGAGCTATCGTGTAAAAATTAGTGTCGAACGGTATAGCAGGAGATGTTGGATAAAAAACGGCTCAGTTAGCTTTGTATATATAGTAGCCACCCTCGGCTCCGGCCTCATGGCAGAATTGTGGACATAAAATTTTTAAATTCTTCCGATTTTCGGAGGCATATTCTTAAAATAAATACGGCAGCGTTGTATAAGGATAAATCATAATCATAATTGTATATGGTGTAAGACTGGCTGTTCGCTGTGGTTTGCTTTTTTTGTTAACCACACCCAACCCTTGCCACGTGGAACCCGCCAGTTGGTAAGGGTCAAAAATTTTAAAAAATTTACGTATTACCAGAACAAAAAAGCTGTTTTTTTTGTTTGAAAATCTTGCTTGATTAAATGACGAAATTTAAAAAGTTCTATGTTTATCGTAAGTAGATTTATAAATGAGTCTTTCTTTAATACAAAAGATTTCTAAATAGTTACTTCTAAAGCCTTATAAGGTAAGTGAAAATATAAAAAGCAATACTGACCGCTTAGCTACATGCTCGTAGGTGTTTTTACAGTTTGCAGGAAAGTTCACCTTACGAATTGTTTATACAAATCACTTAGACAGGTGAAATTTCTCTGCAGTCCGTAGTTACATAAATTTGTGCATGTCACTACCCGTAATTGCTATTTAATAACTCGCTTGTTTCTGGTCACCACTAGTAATGAATTGTGCAAACTAGGGTTGTTGATACTAAATGGTAAATGGTATTGTGGTATGGTTGTACGGCTGATATACCATTTACCAATGGTATATCAGACCGGCATCGGATGGTAAGATTTAATACCAGATATACCAAATAAAGTTTGATATTTCAAATCGCATATGGTATTATCGAAAATCCTTTAAGTAATTTTAAATTTTAAGACTGTAAGACCTAGGAAATCCGGTTTAGGGAGTCGCGAATACACTTTGCGCTCTGCTCTGCCGGTGTTGTGGTGCTGCACTTCGTGTACGTTATGTACGAGC